CCCGGTGTAGGGAACAAAAGAGCCGGCGAGCGCTTTAAGCGGCCGGACATTCCCGGCTGGGCGGCGGACGCGCCCCCTGCGCTTTGAACTGTGACTGGAGCGACCAGCGCTGTCCCGGGCTGCAGCCCCGTACCCCCTCCCTTCTGGCCAGTCACAGACTTGGGGGCCTGGAGAAGCGCAGCCCAGCGGACTCTGGAGTGTGTCGGAGCTGTGGAGAAATACGCAAAGCTGGGGGGTTTGCTCTCACCCACTCTGCTGCACCCTCCTCCGCCGTGTCCAAGTCTGTTTTCGAAATAATTCCCTCAAAACTGCAGAAAGTTATCAAAGATTCTATTTTCTTTGGGTTCTCGGTCGTTTCACCAAAGGATAGGATGTTTAGCTGCAAGAATGGCCTTTCCGGACAGGACTGTTCTGGCGCTTGGGTGAAAAGGAGGTAGAATGGGTGGGAAGGCATCACCCTCCAAGGTTCACAAAGAACAGACTCAACATCACAATGAGAAAGCTGAGGTAATCCAGTTCACACCCCAGTTGAGTCCAACGAACCAGGCAGTCCTGAAAGATAAAGATAATCTTGTCTCTCCTACTCACTGCTGGTCCTGACAAATGACCCATTAACTGAAAAAGCTCGCTGAAAGTTAAAATCCCAGTAACATTTCTGTGCCACAAAGAAGACTCAGTGTTCCCACTCGGAATTCCTATAAGGAAACCATTCCCTCCTAGGAATGTCACAAGAGAAAGGATGGCACATGCATTTGAGGAGATAGATATGTATGCTAGCCCTAGGAGGAACTGACCTTTGGCTGCTCACTATTTAAGTGTGCTGTTGGGTCCAGCACAATGGACTGGCTCATCGTGTATGTACTTGACATCGACTAAATTCTAGGAACTAGATATTTAAAGGTGGTAGTTTCTGCCTCACTCACTCTTTGCTCTTCTGGTGTTGACTGGGATGGCAGAGAAATTAAGTCAATTCAGTGTCTCTTTTCATACCCATTCTAGGGTCTTCAGATCAGGAGTCTTAATGATGTATGAAACAAACCTTGGTGCAGAAGAGTTAAAAAACTTCAGACCTCTGGAAATCAGGAAAGTTTTCTAATGATGGGGATTGTGCAGCCCAGGGACTCCCTACACCTTAATGGCAATTGGAAGATGAGCTTGAGAGATAGAACTGGGGGTAAATAAGTAATGGGAGGCAGTGGAGAAATTCAGAATTGGGGACACCAGCGTGCCAGGGCCCTAAAGTGATTTAATTGTCAGGAAAGGAAAGGGTGATGGGCCTGTCACCCACCACAGAAAAGGAGGGAGCCCTGGAACTCCCTCCCACAGGGCTCTCTGGGCTTGTCCTCAGCTCCAGAGAGGTCAAATTGGTATCCTGAGTTGCTGTCATTTTAAATTCATTTTGACAAGTGTTTAATTCTTCTTTATCAAAACCGTTGGTCTGAGAGTGATATGCAAATAATGGCTAGTCTGCTGCATGTACAACGTGCAGTATCTCTCTGTGTGATCTGTCAATTAACTCTCAGGTCTGGCCCAGCAGTCACTTGGGGGGTGGTCCTGGGCAAGACAGCCTCTGGTTCTTGGTTCCTTCCAGTAGGAAAGTATGTGTGTTCCAGGCTCTGTAAAAATCCCAGCAGAGTTGCTGCCAACTGGGATCCTGCCATGGGCGTGGGGTATGAGACTGTACCCATATTTGAGATAAGGGACACAGAGTCTTTGTGAAGATACATGTGTGACTCTGAGCTTGTGGGCATAATGTCCACAAGTGAGAATGTGCAGCCTCAAGCCATTCTGGTGTCCAGAGTTATATAGAAGAATAATTGTTGAACCCAAGTCTTTAGAGTTGTTTGTTCCTTCAGGCCTCCCTTGCACCCCACTGTGCCTGGGTACCCATGTGTACCTAGATGAAAAAAAGATCCTCAGAGCCCAAGAGTATTTTAAGAAAGCACACTTCCAGATCCTCCCTGGTGGTGCAAGGTGTTAAAACACAGCACTGAAGCAAGGCAGCCACTGCAACACAAGTTTGATCCCAGGCCGGGGGTTGACCCACATGGCACAGCAGACCTCCCCTGACTTACCCGCTGCTCCCCTCAGCAATGTGTTTCAGTGTATCTGCCTGTTCTGCTCCCCATTCTGTCTCTGGTGTATCCCCTTACCCCTGCACCTCTGGCCTATACCCCAGTTCTGTGCGTATACATAAATAAATCTTAAAAAAAAAAAAAGCACACTTCCTAGGTTTGAATCTTTTTCCTTAGTGTCTGTTGAGAGAGGAAGGTGGTTGAGTTCTTCCCCGTGTCAGCCTGCTCTCTGCCCTCAAAAACCAATCCTTCCAGGGCCCTTCCTGGTGCACAGCAGGTTAGAACACAGGACTAGGATGCTAAAGTCACTTCAGCATGAGTTCCATCCCCAGCCCTGGAGGTGATCCACATGGTGTGGCAGACCTCTCCTGACCCACCCGCTGCTCCCCTCAGCAGTGTACTTTGTCGATCTACCTGGTCTGCTCCCCACTGTCTCTGTGGAATCCTCTCACCACCAAGCACCTCTGATCTGTACCCCAGTTCTGTATGCATAAATAAATAAATCTTAAAAACAAAAAAAAACAAAACAAGGCCCTCCCTGGTGGCACAGTGGGTTAAAGCACTGCACTGAGAATCTAAAGCCGCTTCCACACTGAGAATCTAAAGCCGCTTCCGCATGAGTTCGATTCCCGCCTGCCCCAGAGGTGACCACATGGCGTGGCAGACCTCTCCTGACCCGCCCGCTGCTCCCCTCAGCAGTGTACTTCGTCGATCTGCCTGTTCTGCTCCCCACTCTGTCTCTGGTGAAACCTCTCACTGCCCCTGAGCCTCTGGCCTGTACCCCAGTTCTGTATGCACAAAATAAATAAATCTTAAAAAAACAACAACAACAAATTCTTCCCATCCTGATAGGAAATACAGTCAGGGCCAGGGCAGAAAGATCAAGGAAATTCTAATCATTGGTTCCAAAAGAGAATTCCATGTTTTTGGAAAATAGTTTATTAACTCATTACAGGGACAGATACATGATCAATGCCTTGGCTTAACACTAAAGAATATCATATTTTTAAGAAAGAGAAAAATGCTGGAAAAGTAATTAAATAATATAGCATAAACTAAATACAGACAAATAAATGAGCAGATAGTGATTACACTTGTCATGCATCAAGAAAAGGAAGGTTTTTAAGTGAGACTCAAAAAATGTAAGGCATCAATGGTAGGTGACAAAAGCGATTAATACCCTGTAAAAGGCCAATAGACTCTTTTCTAATAAAAATACTTCTACAAAGACACAAACCTAACACTTCCAAATTACCCAGACCCAAATCATATATAATGCTAGTGAGTAATGGCCACTTTCTTATCAACTGTGAGTTATAGGCAGATACCAGATTTATTACTTATTTGCTTTTGAGAAACAATTTTCCACCCAACCTAATGGGTTATAAATTGTCTCATTTGCAGCTATTTAATTTAAACCAGAACCTCAGTGCCTGTTAAACAAGAACATGAAAAATGACTATGTGGTGTAATGCTAAGAGCCTACTGTTAAAACAGCCGTTTTATTCAGGGCACTTTTTTTTCCCTTGGAAAAAAAATCAGACCAGCAAAATAAAATGAGGCTTTTGACCTTCAGAGCAACGATGAAACATAGACAGTGGTGTTAGCCACAGCAAGGCTGAATGCTACAGAAATAGTACAAGTGACAATTCTGTCCTTAACAAGATACAAAACCAACATTAATAATCTTTAGTGTTATCATAAGCTGGCTGAAGGAGGGGGAGGGGGAGGGAATGTAGGTGCGGATGTCAAATGTGAGTGACACTCGAGTGTAATAAACAGATGCTGAAAGGGTCTGAGGAAGCTGCAACTCCACTGAGAGGCATTTCACCATTAAGAGAGAAAAAAAAAAGAAACATAGGAAAGATAGACTGGTTATTTCTAATTTGGCCCAGAAGCCAGAGTTAACCCTTGATGTGCTGATCAGTTCCACAGATGCACTTAGAGAGAAAAGACCCCACGTTGTTCTAGGCTTCTCTAAGAAGCTGAGGTTCAACATCAAACAAATGACATTGTTTTCTCCACACAGGAAACAGAAGTCAAGCTTGTCTCTGGGTGTTGGTTTAGCAGAAAATGACTTCTGGATTGAATGTAAGCAGAAACAAAATGAAAGGAGACAATCACCTCTGTCCTGTACAAAGACCTCCCTTCCAGCCCCCAGAGTAAGATTCCCCCTCACCGCCTGCTTCACCGGTTCTTCAAGGTGCACAGAGGGGAATACATGGGCTGCTAGAGGGGTGAAGTGATGGACACTAACCCCACTCCTGACCCTCCTTTAGCTTCAACCGGCAAGAAAGATGGACCTTAACCCTCTCTGTCAAGCGAACCTTCCTTCCTCCCTGCAGAAAACGGAGTCATATTATCCTGAGCCTCTGGGCCACATTCTCCCTGTCTCAAAAATCCCCTTGTCTGACTTGTATTCATCAATTCCAAGGAGAACTCACCTATCTTGATCCCAGGGAGAAAGATACCAGAGAAGTTGGAGGGCCTCCCCACACCTGCGGGGGGGTGGGGGGGTGGGGGTGGTGGTGGGGGCTGTGTTCACTCTC